CAGCTCGAGCTGAGACTGTTTTGCTATAGCTTAAGCATATATCAAGGCCAGCCTGATATTTTTTTAAATAATATAGTTATAGAGGAATTGAACAGTAGTTGGGTATACAAAATAAGATAAAAAATATATAAACATATATATTATATTATTTACTGATATGTTTATATATCTATATGTATATACATTTTTAAGATATATATACATATACAAATACAGATCAAGAAGTCGAGCATTACATATATATATATAGTATCTGCTATCTGTATATATAGCCTCTGCTTTGCGAGGAAGAGTGTCTACTTTTCGACATGCCGAATAAAAGCAACTTTTTTTTTTTGGCCTAAAACAAATCAGCTAATAATTATTAAACAGAAGTATGACAGACGAAGTATCTATAAACAAAGCACGTTATTTTTAGTGGACAAACTTATTAAAATCATAAATACTCGATTCGCATATGCTGCGAATTGCGATTGTCTCTGGGATTGGAAAAACCAATTAGTAGGTGATGCTTAGCTAGAGAAGCTCTCACAGTATTATCTAAAGCAGAGCTTTTACCCGAATCGCTGCAGCTGGCAGCTTTATCATATAGGGTATACACAATTGTAAGATTAACTTGTAAAACGTTTTAAATATTCATGTTTATATGTGTATCTTGGTAGAATTACAAACAATCATACTACATATAGCAACTATATAGCTTAGTAAATGAATTGTTCTGGGATTTGAACCAGCGTACTTCTTGTTCAATTGCCCAAAGGTTCATCAAACGAGGACTCTTAAACTTATTACACCAATGTAGTTTCAAAAAATAACAAGTTATTCAGTTCAAATTGAAACTTAATGCATGCGTACAATCTTATATTATTATGTTTTTTATTATCATATATTATTATATTTGAAAGAAAACAGCTCGAATCTTAAGTTAACAAAGCTATTCTTCATTCTTTGCCCCTCCACGGCGTCTCGCTACGAACCATGCCCAACTACCTATTAGATATTCAATATGATCGTATGTATAAACGAACTACTAGACATTGTGGATATTTCTGCTTCAGACTTGGAATGAGCTCCATATCTCTTAACTTAGCTCCTATAAAATCCAAATTTATAATAATTTTATGTAACCCAAAACAGTTTGAAGGTTGAAAAACCGTTTCTTAAGTCGATCTTTTCGATCTTTCAGATTCGGTTTTAATAGATCGGTCAACAACTTTCAATTAAGCTAGCTCATGTTTATTGCTGATCTTAAGATTATGCCCCTCCCACCGTCCAACGCCCCTCAATGCAAGCCTCATTGACCGTGTCATTTTTTTTTTCTCGGATCTCGTTTTGTGGAGCAGAGACCTTGCGGCCAGACAAGAATTGATATGGGTACAACGGCGAGTACAAGCGAGACTTTGAGTACAAAGTACATGATAAAAAAAAATGTGTTTTGTCGAGCTGGGGTTAAACGGTAGTCATCGAGTCAGCGAGAGCGAGAGAGAAGACGCTGGTCCAAACGCTACCTGGTTTGGACTTTTTCCGGCTGCTGTTGCTCAGCTCCGGGCTTTTGTCATGTACATCGCGACGTTTACCTTGATGGGAGCCGTGTCTGTGTCTCTTTGGATCTGTCTTGCGGGTCTCTGTTTCATCAGTTGATTACTTTTGTCGGACGCTTTTGTTGAAGACACACGTTAAACGCTTGAATGACACGTTCAATTGAACATGAGACATCAAAAAAAAGAAAAACCAACTGAGAGCTAAATACAAATGAAATCCGACTAGTTAGAGGTCCCACAGATCTACGAAGACCTCAGCTGTTACCGAAAAAATGCGAAAGAAATAAAAAGAAAAAAACCAACCAGAGTTGGCCTAACAATTACATAAAAGCCAAAACAACAATGTCCCAAAGAGCCAACAGAAATCAAATGACCTCAATCGCAAATTAAATTGAAAAGAGAGAAAACAACAACAACAACAACAAAAACACGTTTAAAGTTTAAACATTACAAAAATGTGACAGAGGGCGAGGTGGGAAGCTGCGGACAGCGGGCGAAAGACAAGGGCTGGGAGCGTGTGGGAAATAGGTAACTCAGCAAGTCGAGAGTGCCCAGCTGGCAGATACCCTATACAGAAAAATATAAATCCGAATTATTGATATGCACGAAACTTGGCCTTTATATGCTACAAGGAAACCCACACACCGATAGTCTCTAAGATATGATTGAAATATGTATCGATATCGATATTTATCGATTTGGGGCGAACAAGCGTTGCCATCTAAATAGCTTGCGGTGCGTAGAGTATGCGAGCAGCAGCCAACCAAATTGTTTGTCTCCAGCTATTATCGATATTTATCGATACCTAACGATATTTATCGATTCTAATCAAATCCGTCCAGCTATCGACATTACTGAGCTACGTGCCGTATGTGCAAGATTGCAGTCTCTAGATCTTAAAATCGATTGCATGCTCGTGCATAGTTTAATATCGATATTTATCGATTTTAAAAGCACATGCCTATAGAAATCGCCGTGAGCGAATTAACGTAACAAATTTGTTGTACTTTTACTTGAGAAACTAGTATACACTTAAAATAAACATTTGATATATCGATAAATATCGATTTCGATAAAACACCAAGTAGGTCAACAAAAATCTTTAAAACTAGTAGTAAATCTCTGCGTCTGACTGCTTTCGAATGATGTACCTATCGAAATGGGTGATCGATATATATCGATTTTCAAGGATCGACTTAGACTTGAACAGATAAACGGTCTTGGGAATATTGACTAAGTTCCTGATCAAAGATATATACTGATTATGTTTACCTCTGCCTGTTGCTTGAGTGAGCACAACTTCAGCATACCCTACTTACGCAATTTTATTGGGTATTTAGAGTATCATTTAAATGGGTCACACTTTTGGCACACACATTTTGGCGGGCCGAGAATTGCCCAAATTAATTTATAATATTGGTTAATCAATTAACAGTGCGCTAAACGCTTAGCCAGGTGAGGAAAATCAGCTCCCAATTTTCACCCCACATCCCACCCCACCTTCCGCGGCCAAGTCTCCCCACATCACAACCCCCCCCCCCCCTTCGCCCCTCCTCTTGGCAAAACGCAATGCAGCTGCCCCGTGCGGATCAAGTTAAAACCTGCTCACGGTCATGGCCTAATGCAGCAACAAGCAGACTACTTCCCCTTTGCACAGCACCCCACATCCCCCCATCCCCCCCCTTACCAACCTAACACCAGTGCCCCCTCAGCACCGCTCGCGCTGCCTTTAATGAAAAAAAAAAACACGCGTAAATCTGCGTCTTGGTCAAGGCGAGCGCCAAAGGTGTTGCGTTCGTTTGCAGCCAGAAGGAAGCCAGCGCCACGCACGGCCCAACAGCTGGCATTAAAATTGTCAACCGAAATGCCAAAATGTCTGCAACAACAACGAACAAAAACAACAACCAACAATCAACAACAACTTTGCAAACGACAACAAATTGTTGCGCAGTCGCAGCTTCAGCTTCAGTTGCTGTTGTCTTAATACCCTGTGCCCATTGCAAATGCATGGAAAAAGGGTATTTCAATGTTGTCCCAATGTTTGCTACAGCCAACAGCAGGCATCTTCAAAACCCATATCTTATATATTTATATATATATATTCTTGATCAGTTAACTCCAGAGCGGGAGAGTTGAATGTTAGAAGGCAAAGCCTCCTTTAGCCCGCATAGATCAAGTTAAGTTCATTGCGTTGCCGCGAAATCGATAAATATCGATAATCAGCTGAAGGTTTTTGCTCATATCTCGTCACTCACAAGAGCTTAAGTCACAAAAGTTAATATTAAGGCTATCAAGTTGTGTGCGCTAATCAAGCATATTTTATCTTTTCCCCATGCCCCCAAAATTGAAAGAAAGCCGCATTTGTATAGGTATTTTCTTGGACCTAGATATATACACACATTTGGATGTTATATTTGTGCTCAGAAAATCTTAAATGTATTGGACAATAAATGGCTTAGTTATTTAGGAAGGTATTTCCCTTAATGTGGGACGTAAACTGAAGAAGAGGATCAGCTTGAGGCTGAGCGCTTGTCGCTGCTGATTGCAGGGTATCTGCTAGTCGGGCACTGCCGACTAATGCAACACCTACTTGTTTTGTTTTTGATGCTGTGAGCTTTCAGTTACGAATGCAGCAAACTGGTTGCGAACTGCCCAACTGGCAACTGGTTACAAGACAACTAACAACATACAACAACCTACAACAACAACAACAACAACCTACAACAACAAACGCATAGTGCAAATATACGTATTATGAACAACACAGGAGAAGATCACATGGCAAAGCTGAGCTGAGACATAAATTCACAGAGGTGCCACAGTGGGCAACATGTTGCAAGCAGGCAAACGGTAGGGCAAGGGGTGGGGCAGGTGTGGCGGGGAGGGAAGCGGGGCCAGCAAGCAACATTATATAATAAACAACAGCAGAGCTGAAGCAGCTGCAACTTTTTTATGCGCCACCAAAACGCGAAGACAAAACGCAAACAAATCAAAGACTGGCACGCAGACACCCTGTAAAAGGCTCTAAATGCCAGTAAGCAGAGAAAACGCAAATTACAGGGCATAACAATAAATTAAATAAACTAATTTTCGAGAGCCTATTTATCAAGTTTCTTAAGCTCAGCTCCTTTGAATGTTTGAGAGCTACAGAAAAATGTGCGGCTGCATATCGATATTTATCGATTTTAGAGCCATTTTATCGATAATAGGCTGAGAGCTTTGTGCCCAATATAACCTACCCTGTGTGCAGGGTATAAGAGCGGCAGTGGAGAGAGGAAGAAGTTGGAAGAAAAGGAGAAGTTGTAATTCGCAGAGATAAGTGTTCGATTTGGGGTCTTGGCTACTGTGAGCGCACATTAAATAATGCCCTTCTCTTTAAACATTTTCTTTATTTTATTTTATTTTATTTTATTTTATTTCATTTGCATTTTTCTTTTTTTTTTTGTATCTTTTTCGCAGTGGACGATGCTTCCGGCCATTATACATCCGGTTTCTTCTATGGCAACAATTATTGGATGGGTTCGTTGGCCCTTTGCGATGCCATTTACGATGGCTCGAGCACCATCGACAGCAGCAGCAGCAGCCCCAACAGCACCGCCAGCAAGGACAACAGCACAGCGAACAATGGGAATGCCAATGCCAACGGGAACGCGAATGGGAATGGGAATGGGAATGGGAATCGGAACAATGGACTGCCCTTTGCCGAGGCATATGCCGAGGCCTACAGCAGCGTCTACAATGCGCCGCCTCCGTTTCTGCCCGGCTTCTATGTGCTCAAGCTGCAGCTAAATGAGACGATGCCAACACAGGTGGTAAGTTGAATGTAATCCCTGACACAAGAAAGCAATTGAAATGCTAGTGAGTCATGAGAGAGAAGTGTATTATAGAAAAACGAGAAGTTAAAGTTCGTTCGAGCACTTCTTTTGGTTCATTGCCCAAATGAAAATGAACTAACTTCTCTTGCGGAGCATGCTTCTATTGCATGATGAAGCGAGAAGCGAGGATAAGTGAAAGTAATAAGAGCAGCGAGAAGCTCAGACTTCTAATTTTGTCGTAAGCTTAACAGTTGAAGCAGTCAATCAGCGGAAATCGCACAGCTTTGCCTATCGCAATAAAATATGATATGATTGCTTCTCACTTTAAGCTTATTTCCTTCGTTCATATTATCTATTAAAGCTAACAAAACGTTTAGAAGTTGGCTCCAATTGGCCTGAATGATCTGAGAGTGCGATAATTTGTAAACATAAATTGAAGTATTGCTTTGTAAATTCTGTAGTGGCGCTTCATGCTTCTGTTTGCTGCTCACGGCTAAAAATAATTTCAAAGAATTAATGTCAAAGTCAATAATGAATTGGGTATACACAAACTACTCTAGCGAGGCATGCTTTTTTTGGATTACGAAGCGAGAAGCGAGGTTAAGTTAAGGTATTGAGAGCAGCAAGAAGCGCATGCTTCTTATTTTGTCGTATATTTTACAAACGAAGATGTATCCAAGTAACTCAGAGCTTTGCTTATCACATTAAACAATGATAACTTCTCACTTCTTCGCTTCTCCCTGCTTCGCTTTAGCTGCTCAAGCATCTTTTTTTAATGATGTTCTTTATTTTTTGTAGCTGCGCACCATTTACATGGGCATGTGCCTGCCCTCCACCTGCAGCATTGCGGACGTGCATCGGATGAGCGGCTATGCGCGGCTGGAGCTGCCCAGCCGAGAGCTGCGCGTGCTGGACATACGCGTGCCCACGGACAAGGAGTTCAACATATGGTCGGACAAGACCTTCTGCCTGCTGATGTAAGTACCAAAAGCGACTGCGAGAAAGAAAGAAAGACGACCCAAAAAAAAAAAAAAACAAAATAGAAAAAGAAAAAGAAGAAAAAAACTCACTTTCAAAACTGAGCGTGAGGCTAGGCGCTAATGGCCAGCGTAAACAGTGTGTGCCCCTCCAGGCCGCGGGCGTGGCTGTACCCGTGGCTGTGCCCGTGGCTGTGGCTGTGGCTATGGCTGTGGCCATTAGCATGGGAAGTCGTGTGAAATGGCCGAAAATAATTGAAAAGCGAAACTGTCGACAGGGGGAACGGGACCACGCCCCGCATTTGTTTGGCCAACCTATTAACAGTCCTCCCTCCCCCCTCTAGCGTGGTATCCGGCATTGTGCTCGGCCTGATCTGCTGCGGCACGCTCTACGAGATCTACTTGACGCGCCAGCTGCAGGAGGCGCTGCGCCTGCAGGACAAGGAGATGATGAACAACAGCGAGACGAGCTCCGGCATTGGCTGCGCCTCCTCCGACTACAGCGACACGATGACCGGCCACGAGGACCCATTGAAGCAATCAATCAATCAATCCGACTCGCTGAAGCAGCTCGACCAGCTGGTGCTGCATCTGCCGCCCGCCGGCGACAATGACAGCGGCAATGGACACCATCACGAGCACGAGCACGAGCACGAGCACGAGCATGAGCATGAGCTCGAGCATCACGATCACGAGCGCATGACCGTGCACCATCATCATCGTCATCAGGGAGGCAGCAGCGGCAGCAGCAGAAGCGGCAGCGCAGTCGTTGGCATCGGCAGCGGCAGCGGCAGCAGCAGAAGCGGCAGCAACAGCAACAACAACAACAACAACAACAATAGCAACTCGGATGAGCACCTGGAGGGTCACCTGCACGAGCCAGAAAAGCTAAGCATCTACTCGGAACTGTTGCTCTCCTTCTCGGCCATCACGAACTTCAATGCGATTTGCGATCGGAACGTGGGCGCCGACACAATACCCTGCATCCACGGATTGCGGGCCTTCAGCATGGCCTGGGTCATACTGGGACACACGTGCATTGTTGTCTTCAAGTATTCGGACAACATGGAGATGCGCAAAGAGGTCGAGCAGAACTTCTTCTTTCAGGCGATCACGAACGGACCGTTCAGCGTGGACACGTTCTTCTTCATCAGCGGTTTCCTCATCTCCTACCTGTACTTCCGGACCAATGCCAAGGGCAAGCTGAACAAGCTGACCAAGGGCACTAACGAGTTTACCGCCGGCACTGCCCACTTTTTTGGCCTGGTCGCTTATCGCTTTATGCGTCTAACCGCCCCCTATCTGTTTGTGCTGGGCGTCGTCCAGGTGACAATGCGCTACCTGGCCGCCTACTCCATATTCGATCCGCCGACCATGGATCACATAACCTGCCCGGACTATTGGTGGCGCAACATACTCTACATCAATACGCTGTTTCCCGTTGATGAGATGGTGAGTGCCAGCCACTTGGTGTCCGATTAGACTAGCCTAATCCAAATCCCTCTCTCTCTCTCTCTCCCCCTCTCTCTGCCACTCACTCTCAATCTCTAGTGCATGTTGTGGAGCTGGTATCTGGCGAACGACACGCAGTTCTATATGATCGGCGCCATTATCCTGATCGTGGGCGTGAATCATTTTAAGCTGTCGGCAATCACCACGCTGGTCTTTCTGGTGCTATCCTGGATAACGACAGCCGTGATTGCCTTTACGAACAACCATCGTCCGAATACCGATGATCCCTTGGCGCTGTTCGACAAGATCTACGACAAGCCCTGGACCAGGCTGGGACCGTATTTAATTGGCATGGCCGTCGGCTGGATATTGTTCCGGACCAATTGCAAGATCCGTTTGCCCAGGCTGACGGTGGCCACCGCCTGGACGCTGGCCATGTTGAATCTGTTCGTGCTCGTCTTCGGCCTGTACCGAACGGATCTCTCGCAGTTCACGGCGGCCGCCTACAGCTCGCTGAGCCATTCGGCGTGGGCGCTGTCCCTGGCCTGGATCACCATCGCCTGCTCGACGGGCTATGGCGGCTATATCAATTCGCTGCTCTCGGCGCCCTGCCTCTATCCCTTCTCGCGCGTCACCTACTGCGCCTATCTGGTGCATCCCATTGTCATACGCTCCATGGCGCTCAACTCGGATGCGCCGTTGCATTTGGGCGGCGATTTGATGGTAAGTCCTCCCCCCTCTCACTCTCTCTTTTTGACTTTCTCTATATGTGTCTCTCTCTCTCTCTCTCTCTCTCTCTCTCTCTCTCTGGTGTCTTTACAGGTCGTCATGTTCTTTGGTCTGACGGTCGCCTCCTATTTCCTGTCCTTTGTCGTCTCGATGTCCTTCGAGGCGCCCGTCGTCACAATGCTGAAAATCTTGTCACCTAGTCGAAAAAAGCGTCTCGCCTAAGCCGGCGTCCTCCCCCCACACTATTTATGCGCTACTATAAACGAATACATATACTACTTTATAATACCATACAGAGAACACTTCTCCACACACACACACACACACACACACACACACAGACACATCTATCTATTCGAATGTTGTCTCTGTTTCCCCTCTGATTTAGCACATTCTCATTCGTCTCAAGCAAGCAAATGTCCACATATTTATAGCATCGATCGTTCATTAATATCATTCCTCAACTATTTCAATTTATTCTTTAAACCTCTGTTTGCTCTCTCTGCCACTCTTTCTTTCTTTATCTCCCTAACATTCCACAGATTTGTATCTATATATATTTTTTTTTGTTTCGTAATGTGTACATTTTAGTCGTCTAATTTATTCCAAAGGTTTGGAAATCTTGTGCGTGTCGAAAAATAATAATAGTACTTAATAGTAATAATTATATACATAATATATATGAAAAACATAAAACAAAAACGAAAACAAATCCACACACACACACACACACACAACTTTAGTACCTAATTTTACAAGTTCTTGTTGTATATATATATACTATATAATATGTAAAAACCTTTAAATAAAACTGCTACCAAATAAAAAATATATAAAAAACGGATAACTTCAATTTAAATTCGATTCTTATCGAATTAACTGCACGATAGCTGGTCACATTACTCAACGAAACAAATGCCCAATCAGGGCTGGCGAAAATTTATCTGATCTAAATAATTAGTTGTGCTTTGAAACAATGAATATTTGTAGTAGCCTTTCTATGCAATGGCTTTTAATAAAATGTTTGAATTTTGAAGCACTGTAAACAAGTTAATTAAAGAACAAAATTCACAAGTTTAAATCAGCATATTTTGTTGGCCCTCTGCTGAGTGTGGTGTAGCTCCGACAGTTTTTGGTATTTTTTAGTGCTTCGACGAAGCTTAACTCAATTAACGGTTATTTTTGCAACACATCAGTTGGAGAAAATGTAGAAAAGGTTGCGTCAGTTGTCATCATTGCGCCGCTGGATTAAAGCACCCAACAAATCAAGTCGAAATTAAAAAAAAGAGAAGCCCCACAAACATTTGTTTCTGTGTGGGGAGCGTAGCGTAAGCTCAGAGCCATTGCCCACTGTGCAACACCAGTCGGGAACGTTGTGCAACACTGAAATAGCTACGCCGGCATTTAGCGCACTTCGATGTGCATTAATTGAGAGACTTTTCCAATTTTCAATTGCCAACGCCAAACACCAGCGCCTTTCGACTCATTCGCATCCTCAGCTCAGGGCGTTGGCAGCACGGACATCCTCATCAGCTGGCGGCACACCGCGTCATGGCCATGCCTTCGATCTCGACGCTGGTGGGCGTGGCGTTTTTAGCCTACATCCTGCATTCCATATACCAAATGTCGCAGCTCTTCACGACGCTAAAGTGCAGCGATTCGCCCTGCTACACATCCTTCCTGGCGGAGCGGCCGCGGCTGCAGCTGGCGCTGTTCAGTTCGCTGACACGTAATCCGATTGCCTCGGAGGTGCAGGACTTGTACAAGACGAAGCGCTTCGATTACGGCAAACCCTTTGATCAGGACTTTAAGCTGGATGTGCCGCTCAAGACGCGCCGCAACGGCACGCTCTACTTGCATGTGGTGCTGGCTCTGGAGGGTGAGCCGCTCGAGTGGCGCACCCTGCGCCGCGAGGGGCCCACCGTGCTGCATACGCTCAGCATGTGCGAGTATATGTTGCCGCGTGCGGAGGCCTTCAATCTGCTGGGCGATGGCGAGAAGCAGTCGTCGTCGTCGTCGTCGTCGTCGTCGTCGTCCTCCTCATCATCATCATCATCGCCGGCGCCTGCCAAGTCGGCATCTGTGCCCGGCGAGCGGAGCAAGTCTGGTCTACCCATCACACACATACGGAGCGATGTGTACGTGACGCTGCTGACGGATCTGTTTGCGCTCTCGCAGGCGGACGTGCCGCCAGAGATGGCCCAGCTGATACGCGTGAATCGCATGCAACAAATACTGCCCATACTGCAGACGGACATGTTCAATACACGGCTCAAGGATCTGGTTGCCGTGACGAGCAACACCACCGAATTCACATTCAACTTCCATTACAAGCCCGTCGGCGTGGGCAAGCTGCGCCTGATGCTGCTCATGGAGCATGCCACACAGGCGCTGCAGACGATCGGATTTGCCAGCAAGGACATTGACGAGGTCAAGGGCATCTTCTCCGATACGAATGTGTACCTGCTCTGCGGCACCATCTTCGTGTCCAGCATACACGTAAGTAGCCATCATATATAACATTTAATTACTATGTATTTAACTGCTGCACTTGCTCCCTGCCGCAACAGATGCTCTTCGACTTTCTGAGCTTCAAGAACGACGTGTCCTTTTGGCGCCAGAAGCGATCCTACGAGGGCTTGTCCACGCGCACCACACTCTGGCGCGCCTTCTCGCAGATCATCATCTTTCTGTATCTGCTCGACGAGCAGACATCCTATCTGGTGCTGGTGCCCGTCGGCCTCGGCACCCTGATCGAGCTGTGGAAATGCAAGAAGATATTGCGGCTCGAGCTGAGCTTCAGCTCGTTCATCAGCCGCAAACTGGAGGAGGTGGATCAGCGCAACGGGCAAGCACAGCCCGCCGCTGGCCAACTGGCCGAGCAGCAGACGCAGCAGTTCGATCGGGAGGGCATGCGCTATCTCAGCTATCTGCTGTATCCGCTGTGCCTGGGCGGCGCCGTCTATTCGCTGTTGTATCAGCCGCATCGCTCCTGGTACAGCTGGACCCTCAACTCGCTGGTGAATGGCGTCTATGCTTTCGGGTTTCTGTTCATGCTGCCGCAGCTGTTTGTCAACTACAAGCTCAAGTCTGTGGCGGCTCTGCCCTGGCGCGCCTTCATGTACAAGGCCTTCAATACGTTCATCGACGACTTCTTTGCCTTCATCATCACCATGCCGACGGCTCATCGTGTCGCCTGCCTGCGCGACGATATTGTGTTCCTTATCTATTTGTATCAGCGCTGGCTCTATCCGGTGGACGCAACACGCGTCGATACGGGCATGGCCATTGATGAGACGCCGCCAGCCTCCAGGGGCACCGGCTCAGGGTCTCGCCCCAAGCGCGACTAAAGCCATGACATCACAATGCTAAGTAGCTGCATATTCCGTCGATTTGTTTAGCAAATAGTTGCAACCATTGGCTGTAATCAATATACCCTACACACAGAGAAACACACACACACACACACACACACACTCACCCATGTAAGTGTTTATTGTAGCAAATGCAAGCGCCTCCACTTAACATTTGTTTCCCCCCCTCGAATTTTTAATTGGTATTTTTATCCAATGCACGCCCTCAGATTTGAGTGCCCTTTCGGTTTGATCCTTCAGATAGGAAAGTTAAGAGAGAAATTAGAAGTGTCGCCACAAATTTGTATAACCTGTATATAGAGCAGGCGGAGCGGCAGGCATCATCCCTGGAGGAATTATAATTTACCCACGAGTTGGCTGACGCATAGAAGAAGGTATATTCTTGATTAGTCGGGGTCGATATGTTCATTTTTCCCGTTGCTTCGCAGACAAGTTTCCCAAGCAGGCAGTAAATATGTCTAGAATCGGCCAGATCGGACCACGATAACATATAGCTGTAGCTTTCGGTCGAAAATGGGTTTAAATTTGTCGAAAAAAAACGTTCTCTTTATACTACCAATATAAACACAATCTCTTGTTAACATCGGAACATTTTATTATATAGCAACGGTTGAGAATTAATATATTGTCTGCTTTTCAAAATATCCCAAGTAAGGAAAGTAAGGAGCAAAGTCCCATCATTAGAGCACATTACTAGATCATATGATATGGGAGTAGATAAATCTCGCACATGGTAACAATCTGTTGAGAAAAACATTGCTAATATAATTAATATTTATGGAATTAACCGGGAAAAAGTACTCGATACATTTCTTTGATTCTCATCAATGTCATTTGTTATCCTGAAATATCCATAAAGATGGCCTAGCATAAATAGAGGGTAGTCGGACAGTTACAGTGGGAACCACAAATGCTGCTTAAAATAATAATAATAACTATTTGCTGGACAATTTGAATAATGGCTAGCACTTTCCCAAGTTGGAGGATAAAAGACGGCACATCCAGTTAGAATATGGAATATTATTTTATCTCAAAGCTGTTCAGGGGTTTGTCTTGATTTTTTAATGGAACATGTTTATGTTCGGCGCCAAGCGACGATTTCCAACGTATTAAGCATTTTGATGGGCCCTCAGATACATTTAATGATCCTGACTGGGATACACTGGGGGTGTGCTCACATATTGATCTATTTGTATTAGGTTTTTTGTTTATTTTTTTGCAGCTGGAGCTGTGTTTTGTTGTTGGCAAAAAAATGATTTAATTATGTATAGTATATATAGTAGCATTAGAGCTTAAACTAAACTGCCGAAGGAAAAGGGAGTTTGCCGTGCCATGTCGTGCGGTTCGACAGGGATTAACAGGACACTCGCTTAGCCGTTACGTATGCCCAGGGCCTGCTCCAGTTCGGCGCGCTTCTGATTGACCTTGGTGAAGAAGTAGCGCGACACGGCCTCGTGCGTCCAGGGCTGATAGTAGAACTCGGCGCGTCGCTCCTCTTCCGGATTGCCCACCACATCGGTCATGAGCTGCGGGGCAAACAGTTTAGGGGATTAGAGAAGATATCCAGATCAAGCATATTTGTGTTAACTCACCTTAAGGTCTCGCGTCTGGCTGATGATCCAGCGATGGATAAACATTTGCGGATCCTTGGCAAAGCTGAGAAAGAACTCGCGATTTGTTTTCATTTGATTGATTGTATCGACGGTCTCGTGTATCTTTGTGTCCAAGCCCTGGATCTCCTGCTGGCTGGCGGTGCTCATCAAAAAGCTATTCATTTGGGTCTTGAGCGTGTCGTCCACCTCCACATCGATATCGTAGCAGGCGGTCTGTTTGTTCTCCGCGCCGCTCTCAATGAAATGATTGATGACAATCGGATCTGGCGGATGGAGCAGCGGATTCAGTCGCTGTGGTATCTCCGCAAATTTCATGCGCTGACAGCTGAAGATCTGCTCCAAATATTTGTCACAATTGATATACTCCCGCTCGTGGGCATCCTGCAGCTTGTGCGTCTTGATGTACTGCCACAGCGCCGAGATGATGACGGGCCGCGTCTGTGTGTGCACGCCCAGCAGCCGGGCCAGGCGCGGATCCAGTTTGAACTGCAGCGGCTGGTAGTCGAGCAGCAGCAGGATGGTGCAGCGCACATTGCGATCGCCAGGCCGTTTCACCTGAAACCCATCCGTTTCCTGTGTGGTGTGTGTGCGATGCCATTCCACCAGATGATTATCTGGCCCATACAGCTCCTTGTCCAGTTCGATGACCAGCGATTTGAAGAACGATGAGAATTTGCGCTTGATCTTTGTATTGGGATCACCCTTGCCGTCCTCCAGCAGACGCCCCTCCACACGCAGCTCCCAGGAGGCAACGGCGCCCTCGTCCCCATCATTGCTCGGCTCCTTACTCGGGTAGAATGTATTCGAAATAAAGATGCGCAGCTTGCGCTTTTGCTTCATCGGTCGCTTGAGCGCCTCCTGTATATCCAGGCGTTTGCGCATGATGGTAGCGTCCAGTTTCCGTTCAAATGTTAGTAGATCCATGTACGCCTGAGATTCCGGCACTAGGTCGCGCACCTTTTGGGGCAATATTTTGTCCGCCAATTTCTTCTTCTTTTTGGCGCCAGCTACAAACTCGCCCTTGTTGGGACCGCTGTTTAGGCTACGTGACTCCGCCGAGCGTTTGCTGCCACCGCCGCCGCCAGCACCACCGGAACCGCTGCCGCGCAATCCGCTCTGGAAACTGGGCTGGGTAGTGCGCTGCAGCAGCGCGGGGCCGGGGCCAACGGGAGCGGTAACGCTGCCGGGCACTGGCTGCGTTGTATTCGGATGTAGCGGAAAGCCGCGTGGCTGCACGCAAAAAATGAATGAAAAAAAAACCAAGAGTGAAAATTGGCAATTAATCGATGATTGATTTGCACTTACCGGGAAAGTGGTGCCGGTGACTGGTGGGTAGGGACGCATGCCAGGCGATTGGGGTGGTGGCTGGTAGCGCGACTGCACCGGCGCTTGGCCAGGCGCAAAGCGTTGCGACATTTTTAATTCTGCTTTGCGTTAAATTACTTGGCAATTGCTGCAGTTCAAGAAAATTACAACCTTTTTTATTACAACAACGCTGCGTCACAAAAAAAAGTCTGTAAAATGGCGTCGAACTTAGAGTTGTAATATATACAAAGTCGCTATCGATAGTTGGGCTGTTGAATAAATACCCACATATCGATGAGTATATATATATTTGCCGATACTTATACTTTAATGCTATTGCACTCTGCGTTGCTTCCAATCTCGTCCGGCGCATTTAATTTCTGTTACGTAATAGGAATTTAAAATCGAATTTTTCGGTTAAGATGTGGCTTGTATAATTTAAATCTATATTAATATCCTAAAATATATTTATTTCTTATCAATACACACCTAAGTGGTACATTTTACAAATATATGATAGTTTTGGGTATTTTATGCCTGCATAATGTCCGGTCACACTGACAGTGACTAGCGGCTTTGGCTGTCACAGTTTTATCGATAAGCACTCAGTTGCTTGACTTTTATTATTTTCATTTAATATAAAAGTTGAAAGTTTTTGTTTTCGTAACCAAAGCAGAGAAACGCAACGAGCATAGAATGGAGGAGGAATGGTGGCAAACCAATTTGCGTGAGCTGAATGCAAAGGGCAAGCGCATGGAGACGCTCACCAGTATGTTTACGAAAATCAACAAACAATCGGCCCTGCCGCGCCACATAATTGAGTCGCTGCTGCGTGCGCCGGCGCTCTACGAATGCGCCATCGTCGAGGATGCTGACAAAGAGCCGCTGGTGAATATGTCCACTGATTTTATAGGCAGCTGCCTGGACCAGCTGCAGCTGGACATGAGCGATGCGAATCTGCCGCAGCTGCTCAACCCCGCGCTGCATCATTCCAATCCCGCCCTGCGTGCCTTGGTGCTTAACAATCTGCTAAAGGAGCTGCGCCGCCAGACTACCGCCAGCGAAATACAGACGCTGCCCAGCAACGAGCTGCTCGTCTATGTGCTAGACGAGCTACAACAGACGGAGACGCAGTGCAGCGCCGCCGCCATCAACATACTGACCATTGTGCTCAGCCAATGGCTTAACGATGCCGGTGTCCAGTCCAAGCTGGTGCAGCTGCTGCAACAGAACGAAGTGGTACGCTGTCGCGCCTACGAGCTGGGAGTGATGCTAGCCAAGCGTAGCGCCGATTCTCTCAGCTCCGTCGAGTTCATACTGGATGCAGCGCTCGGCGAGCTGGACAACGATGATGTGCTGCTGCAGGCGAGCGTGCTGGAGATACTGGTGCCTTTGGCCGAGCAGAATCACGGCCTCAGCTATATGGAGCGACGTCGCGTCTTCGAAATCATCAGCAGTCGCGTGCAACGCATCGAGGAGCATCCGTTGGACACCCTGCTCATACCCAGCATCATGAAGTTCTTTGGTAAAGTGGCTGCAGTGCAGCCGCAAAAGATCATCGTCGGCTATCCGCACATGCTGGCCTGCCTGTTTGAGCTGCTTAAGTCCGGCGATGAGGCTGTCCTGCCCACGGCCATGGACACGCTGGCCAATCTGGCGAGCTCGGTGCAGGGCAAGAAGCTAATGCATGCCCAGTTCCAGCCCGCCATGCAGCAAACATTGCGCAAGTATGCCGACTACACCAAAAGTCTCTCGCCGCCGCTCAAAATACGCTTGCTCAACTCTCTGGATATCATCTTTACCCAGGAGACGCCGGCCAGCTCTGAGTTGAGGTGGGCATGAGTTGGCCCTTGGCCCCTATGAGTAGCTGGCACTGCCACTAACTGTTTCTATTCCTCTTCTTTGTTGTTGCAGCACCATTTTGAAGAACTGGTACGAATGCTTTGCCAGTGGCCAGCAGCTGAACCACATCATGGAGCTGCTGCATACACCATTTCCCGATCTCCAGCTGGCCGCGCTGGGCCTGCTGAAGACCCTCTGCCAATACCAATGGGGCATCAAAGCTGTGCAGGGCACAGCGGGTGCCATTGAATTTTTGCTCTCGCGTCAGCCCGATCTGCACAAGGATGTCAAGTATCTGAAGTGGAAGATTATGGAACAGCTGTCGGTCAGCAGCGAGTTCACGGCCACCGAAACGGTGCGCTTCACCGCCTACGTCAATGAGGGACCATATCATGTCCAGAGCAATGTCAACATTGCCACCGAGTCGCAGGGCAATCAGTAGCAACAGTTGCTACCACACCTGTCCAGGCGGACACCCATACCCGCATTCACACTCACTCACACACAAATACACAAGCCCTTAGCATTACAAGTTACTGTAAATGCACTCAACTTTTGAGGTTATTCTGCAGGCGTAACTGTGCCTGCATTTACAGTTGAACAACTTTTGAGGTTAGTTTTGGGTTTCTTTTTTAACCCAGTTTGAGAAATCCATTAAGAAACCAATATGTCTCGTTTTCTTTTTTGCGCAGCAAAATTCCAAATATATGTATTTAATTACACGTTTGTATATTTGATAGAATTATATTAAAATTTAACTATTTAGATCACATGTGGATAAAATCGCGCTGCACAGTCCCGTCAGCTATCTACAGGTAGCT